AAGTAGCGTAAGGAGGTGGCCTAAAAGTGAAAGACGTGTTTGGAAATTGCAGATTGAGGCACATGAGTTTATGAGATGACGTTATGGGCTAAAGAGCAGATCTATAAACTCAGTATTCTCTCCAATCCAGTTGATAAACTAGAGGGAAAACTGAGAGTGGGGAATTCCTTAATCAAAAATACAACTTAAATCTTGCCGCCAAAAATGTTTTAGAAAAATACCATTATCTGAGAGCCTGCCATCTCCTACACATGTTAAGATGCTTTACATATAAAATGTAAAGTAGCCCCGAAGTTAGTAATGCTGCATTTGACCAAGTAGAAAGCTAAGCTTAGAGTTGCTGTTCAGTGGTAAGCCTGACCTAATACTTGTTATGTCAGCTTGACTAGTGAAATAAAGTCAGCGACACTGGTGTGTGTGTGTGAAAACTTTATATCAAGAGGTAATTACATATCAAGGAAGTCTCCTAGCCTAGTCTATCTCAAGTCTCTTAAGTCCAATACTCGTCCATAAGCCCCCTCTTAAGACTTGAGCAGCCACATGCAGTGATCCAGAATGCAGGAAGCTCAAAGACCAGCAGGTGCAGTCATGGGGATTCAAGGTGGGGGGTGAGGGGAACATGACACAGGGCACCAGAGCCCCAGCAGGCAGGAAGGTGGAGACGGTAGAGAGGGGGGGAGGTTCCCAGAGTCCTTATGAGGACACATCCCCAAGAAGGCACCATCAGACTGTGACTTACTGACAAGTTGGATACCAAGCCTACACTTTCATACACCTTCAGGCTGACATGACGTCATCTAGTGACCACGGCCTACTAGGCGCCGTGCTGCTCCTCATCCCCAGGCTAGACGTGCATTACCTTCCGTGTCAGGAGAGCAGTGGAAAGTGCTATAGTTCTAAAATTGTAAAACCTCGGGGGTTAATACTCTGATTATGCTCCAGACAAATTAGCATGTATCCAAGTAGATAGGTGTACCACACAGAGAATTTTAACCTCAGAAGGATTGGAAGTCAACTAATTTGGATACATATTTGTCTCTTTAAATAGATTTGAAAGTCAGCATAAATGGTAGGAGGTAAATATAAAGTTTGTGTAATTTTCATTGAGGAACTAGAAATATGTCAAATTGACTCAGCCCATAAACCTAGTGTTAGAATCAGGAAAGATGTGCATCGGGGTTGTATTTTCTCCCCATACTCATTTAATCTGTATTCGGAGAAAATAATCTCAAAACGATTAGATGGGGAAGCATGGCAGCAAGATGAGAGGAAGGCTCCTTTACTTACGGCTTTTGGTAGGCACATGGAGCAGCCTTGCTTGCTGAAAGCTAAGAGCACTAGAAGCACTTGCTGATGGGAATCGCAGACTACAGCCTATGGGTCAGACCTTGGCCATGGAGAAAACAGAAATCCACATCTGGATCAAAAAGCAACATGATGGAGAAAAGACTGAAATTGTCGAGGATTTCATTTTACCTGGATTCACAATCAACATCCATGGAAGCTGTAGTCAAGAAACGACAAGGACATGCTGGTCTGGGTAAATCTGCTGCAGAAGACTTCTTAACATGTCAAAGGGCAAAGCTGTCACTGAGGATGAGGACTGGGCGCACCTGATCCGCGCCCTGGCGTTTCTCCTTCCAGCCTGAGGAAGGCGAACTGTGAATAAGCACGAGCGGTGAAAACGGATGCGTTGGGGTTGTGTTGAACCAAGAACACTGAGTGTGCCGTGGACTGTCAGAAAAGTGAACCGTTCTGCCGTGGAGGCAGTGAAGCCAGGGTGCTTCTTCAAAGCAAAACTTGGTTTCACTTACTTTGAAAATGTTATCTGGACATTAGCGAGCCTGTGAAAAAGCGGGACTCTCTCCATAGGGCGCTCACCATGGCTGCAACAGTGACCTCGCACAGAAAAGCAATTGAGAGGGTGTTGCAGGACTAGGAGGTGAGAACCAGCCTGAAGGCATCTACAGTAACAACTGCTGAAAGGCCGGTCTGGTAGAGAGAGCTAAGCCACGTGGGTATCTCCTTGGGGAAGAGTCCACTTTGACTCAACGCGAATCATATACAAAGCTCAGTTCCAGCTACATCACTGATAATAAGGTTGGAGTGCTTTTGGTTGGTTGATTGGTTTTAGGAGAAACAGGCTTTCCTTTTTTTAAAAAAATTAATTAAAAAAAATCATTTTATTGAGCTCTTACAGCTCTTATCACAATCCATCCATCCATCCATTGTGTCAAGCACATTTGTACATTTGTTGCCATCATTGTTCTCAAAACATTTTCTATCTACTTGAGCCCTTGCTATCAGCTCCTCCTTTTTTTCCTCCTCCCTCCCTGCTCCCCCCTCCCTCATGAACCCTTGATAATTTATAAATTATTTTTATTTTGTCATGTTTTACACTGTCCGACGTCTCCCTTCACCCACTTTTCTGGTGTCTGTCCCCCAGGGAGGGGGTTATATGTAAATCTTTGTGATCGGTTGCCCCTTTCTACCCCACCTTCCCTCCACCCGCTGCTTTCCTGTATAGGCACAAGACTAAAATCTAAGTTTGCCTTTTTGTTTCTGGTTAGGCTAAGCAACTCTTTGTCTTTTTAAAATAGCCAGACCAAATTAAAAATACAAAACCAAGGCCATTGCTACTCATATTGGCTCTGTAGACACTAGTGAGCCCATAGGGTTTCTAAAGCTATCATTTTTGTAAAGCAGACCGCTACATCCTCCTCTAATGGATTGGTTGGTGGATTGCAGCTTTTGACCTTTGGATTAGCAGCCTCCGGGGCTCCTTGGGTAAATCTAAACAACTGTAGGTAAGGAAAGTGCCTTGGCTGCCCACTGTGAACACAGACCTCAGAAAGGACTCCGGACATGGTCGTGCATATTTATTGAATTCCCAGTGACTAGGGAACTCCGCACCTTAGAGCCCTGTCTTTGGGGCTCCTGGACTGGTGAGAACATGCATGGAGAGGCTGGGCACAGCCATGAAGGCAATAGAAGCCTTGTGCTGGGATCGATCAGGCCTCCTCTAATGATCTTTCCAGACTATAAGTACAGATAGTAATCTCCATGGATTTTGTGAGTCATCTAGGCAGTTACCAGCAAGCCCACGGTGGCATTGAGCCAGGAGGGGCTGGCGGTACAGCTCTGGGTGGCTCGATGAGAGAAATGGGTTGAAGAAGGCTGGCATCCTTCTATCTTGTGACCTAGACCCAAGGAATAAGAGAGAGAAAGAGACAGCTGGTCTGAAGTGTGAGCATTTGTGTTGACTCCTTAGCCAGTGGCAGCTTCCCCATGACCTGGCCTCCTGCCCCTAAGCATGAATTGACTGAGCTTATGGCTGCAGGAGCTGCGGTCTGTCCACCTCTGTGTGGTTAGGCTCAAACGAGAAAATGCCACATGGGTGGCTGGTGTCAGCTAGGGAAATGGAGACATGAGGACCTTTGTATTTTGGAAATTAGCCTCGTGTTGCCTGTTAGAAACCCAACAGGATGCACACAACCCTAAATCTAAGGGGGGAAATGGGTGTAATGGATTATATTAAATATCAGAACGCCTGTTCATTAAAAATCACCTTAAGAAAGTGAAACGGTGGTGGATCTGGCGGCAGTGGGTTAGAGTGGATTTGGTAATGCGGTGGTTATGGAGGAGGCCCTGGTTATTCTGGAGGAAGCAGAGGCGATGGAAGTGGTGGACAGGCTTATGGAAACCGGGGCAGTGGCTGTGGCGGGAGTGGCAGCTATAACAGCGGCGGAGGCGGCTTCGGCGGTGGCAGTGGAAGCAACTTTGGAGGTGGTGGAAGCTACAATGATTTTGGCAACAACAACAATCAATCTTCCAACTTTGGACCAATGAAGGCAGGGAACTTTGGAGGCAGAAGCTCTGGCCCTTATGGTTGTGGAGGTCAATACTTTGCCAAACCACGAAACCAAGGTGGCTATGGTGGCTCAAACAGTAGCAGTAGTTATGGCAGTGGCAGAAGATTTTAAATGATGACCAGGAAACAAAGTTTAGCAGGGGAGGAGAGCCAGAGAGGGGACAGGGAAGCTACAGGTGACAACAGATTTGTGAACACAGCCAAGCACAGTGGTGGCAGGGCCTAGCTGCTACAAAGAAGACATGTTTTAGACAATACTCGTGTGTGTGTGTGTGTGTGTGGGCAAAAGAACTTGAGGACTGTATTTGTGACAATTGTGTAACAGGTTATTTTAGTTTCTGTTCTGTGGAAAGTATAAAGCATTCCAACAAGGGATTTTAATGTAGTTTTTCTTCTTTTTTTTTGTGCACCCATGCTGTTGATTGCTAAATGTAGTGGTCTGATCATGACACTAAATAAATGTCTTTTTAAAAAAATAAAGTGAAACGGCAACCACAAAGTGTAAGAAGGTACTTAGACGTGTGTGAGCTTTGAGAAAATTTGTGGGAAAATAGAGTGAAAAGAAAATGGTGTTTCCACATGCACTTTTTGAAACCCCTCCTATCTAATAAAGGACTCTCACACCCAGAACATAATAAAGAGCTCTTACATATTAATAAGAAAAACAACCCACTATGAAATCCCCTGGGTAATGAGCGTATTAGAAGGTACACAACATCTCCACTCTTTAAGAAGTACCCGTTAAAGCCAGTGTGACACCGTACTGGTAAAACCCGCCCAAACTGGTAAAAAAGCAGAGCCCAGCATTGGTGAGGATGGAGTGAGCAGTAGAGCTCTATCTCACTGCTGGTGGAGGTGCGCGGGCATGAGATCACCTGTATCCGAATGCTTTTCTGCCCCCTTAAGCGTTTCTTAACATCCTCCAGACATTTGAATCCTAGTTGACTTATTAAAAATGTTACCTAGTTTTTCACCGCTCTGCGCGCGTGTGTTCCTCCGTCCCCAGGCCGGCTGAAAGGCAGAGGTGCTCGGGTGCCGGGGGTAGTGCCTTTCCTCGTCTGTGTCACTGTTGGGATACATGTTTCTTCCCAAGCAGTGTGGAAAAAACCAGTATGTCATGTTCTCCTAGGTGTGACGAACTGTCAACTGCAAACAGAAGCCAAGATGGGTGAGAAGAAACCCGAGCCCCTGGACTTCGTGAAAGACTTTCAGGAGTACCTGACGCAGCAGACGCACCATGTGAACATGATCTCTGGGTCCGTTAGTGGGGACAAAGAAGCGGAGGCTCTTCAGGGAGGTAGCTTCCTCTTCATGCTGTTAAATCGTCCCTCTGTGGAAGTGTGCTCGTGTGTGTGAGGAGTTGTCCGCTTCCCGAAGACCACCGTGGAAGAATGTGGTCGTTCCAGTGTTGCCCTCAGAGAGGTGTAGGGCCTTTCCTCCTCCTTCAGCACGGCAGAGTTTGGCTGAGGCGGGGGAAGGACTTCCCAGGCTCTGGGGGCATTATGGTCTTGGTGGAAGTTGGGGCCTTCTCGAGTCCAGGTTCTGCCTGCCAGTACCAGACATGTGGAGTCAATCCAAAGGGAGTCAGGCTCCCCACTCTACCCCCACCCCCCACCCCCGAATTGGGCCATCCAGGAACTCTCAAGGAGTTCCTTCCTAAGATGAAGACGGGCAGATCGCGACCTGTGGAGGAGGAGGAACTAGAGTCGAGAGCCTGGCTGTGCTCAGTCTGCTAGCAGAGCCCGGGTCTGTTCCTGAAGCTAGGTCCAAACTGAACCAAACTCACGACCATCAGCCAACTCCGACTTAGAGCCAGTCTGTCTGGTATTTCAGAGACTGTCCATCTTTATGGGGCCGGAGAACCTCCACTTTGTCCCCGGAAGTGACGGGTAGATTTGCACGACCTTGTGGTTGGCAGACCAGTGCTGACCCCCAGGCAGTGCCACCAGGGGCCCCTAAGTCAGGAGTCAGCACGTGGAGCCCCATGAGCCACATCTGCACTGCTGCTTGCTCATCTCACCTGCAAGCCAAGAATGGCCTTTACATTTGAAATGGAGAGGGTCACATCGGGCACAGGAGCCCTACTCAAACGCAGTGTCCGTCAGCGCACGGGAGTCCTCTAGTTGAGTAGTTGTGATGGAGCTCATGTGGCCAACAAAGCCCAAATTGTAGTTTGGCCCTTTTAGCATAGGCTGTTGCCCCACCCCCACCCCCACCCCAGCTAGGTGGTCTGGGGCTTTGCTGCATTCGGTCACTCCTGGAGCAGGCATCCCTTGGACACTTAGAAATGCAAACTCTCAGGCCATACCTAGAGCTACTGAATCAGTCTACATTTTTTACAAGGTTCCCAAGTGATCACACATGAAAATTGGGAGTTTTGCTGGCTTGGGAAGAAGATGAGAGGGAGTCACAAGCCTGTGGGTTGAGAATGCGACCGACCCTTTGGGGCGTCAAACGACTCTTTCACAGGGGTCACCCGATTCATAACAGTAGCAAATTACAGTTATGAAGTAGCAGCGAAAATAATTTGATTGGGGGTGTTCACCACAACCTGAGGAACTGTATTAAAGGGTCTCAGCATTAGGAAGGTTGAGAACCACTGCCCTATGGGTGTCAGACTTGACAAGGGAGGACAGAACAGGACCATAGAACAAGAGGCCAGCAAGGCTGTGTCCTGTGAATGGAGCAGGAACCCTTCTCCCATGAAGCTAAGAACAAACACTAAACTGCCACCATCCGGTTGATTCCGACTCGCAGTGAGCTATAGGGCAGGATAGAACTGCATCCACCCCCCCACCCCCCCAGTGGTTTTCTAAGACTATAATTCTTTATGGAAGTAAAAAAGCTTCATCTTTCCATAGAGGAGGAGTGACTCGTGGGTTTGAACTACTAGCCTTTCGGTTAACAGCCCTACTCGTAACCACTACACCACCAGGGCTCCATGCAGCTCTACTAGTGAAAGTGTCGCCAACACCCTTGTGTACACAGTCCTGGAGTCTGAGTCAGAAGATCAGGATTCTAGTCCCCACTGTCTCTGCTTTTGCTGAGTGTGAGCACCCGTGCTCTGAGTGTTGACCTGTACAAAGAAGTAGGTGCATTACACAACAAGTAAGCAGATAAACAAACAGTGTCTTGAAATCCTCACAGTTCTATTACTAAAAGGAAGCAAATACGATAGTCCCTGGATGTGCTTAGGGGGTTGTTAGGGTCCTGAGTGCAACCCCAAAGTGAGAGCAGACCGTGCATCAAGGAGTACAACGTGAGTTGCTTTAGACTAAAATAAACCGAGGTAACTTTTTGAAGATTATGACTACTTTCCACTAGACCGTTTGTAGGTGTGACTATAATGTGAAACACCTGTGTGTAATTATGCCCTCACTGTTCAGGTAAGTCTTGCCCCCATGTTCCCATCCCCCACCTGTCTCCTCACCTGCCCAATATAGTACCCTCTCTCCTTCAAAAGCATTTTTGAGGGCTGATACAGTTATATGCACATTCTCCCAAAAAACTCTAATGCTGCTTTTGTCTAAAATTAGCCCCAGCTCACAAGTCTTAGCTGTTTTCTTAGGAAGTTATATTTTGGATGGAGTGAATTATTCTCTGTGAAACATTTTCTACCCTCTAGACTAATATGCTAAATTGAGTTGCTTTTGAGCTGCGTATTTCTTTGACTGTACTTTGTTTATAGCTGGAACAGATGGTGATCAAAATGGACTTGATCACCCATCAGAAGTTTCTCTGGACGAAAACTCAGGAATGTTAGTAGATGGGTTTGAAAGGACCTTTGATGGGAAGCTCAAGTGTCGGTACTGCAGCTATGCCAGCAAAGGGACCGCCCGGCTTATCGAGCACATTAGAATCCACACAGGTAAAGAAGAACCTTGGGGGGAAGCATTTCCTGGGGGTGAGGGTTGGGAGAGGGGCCAGCCTGGCAGTTTCATCTTTTATAGGAGGTGCTCTGGTCAGTTAAAATTGAAGGCTGATCAGAGACTTGGATAAACATGAAAGGCACTCCCAGTTTACTCAGCTCAGCCTGACAAGGTGCAGGTGGTAGGAAGTGGGCCCTGCAGAGCTTCCCCTTTCTTACAGCTCGTCTCTCCGTAGCTGCTGCTTCTCAGGTTGGGCAGGTTAACGCTGGAAGCAGTGAGGAGATCCAATGTTCTTGATCCTTAGTAGGTACGTTTCAATCTCAGGAGGGCCTGGAAAGGTTTCTCTACACACCTACTTGTTAACATTATCAACTGATTGTCCATAAAAACAACAACAACTTACTGTTCCACTTGTTTGCACATTAATGGTGCACACCTGGCAGTAACGCAGGCTGGGGTGTGAGGCAAGAACAGCCATGGTTGTGATGGGTGAGACTGTGTGTCAGTTTGACTGGGCTATGAGTCAGAGTTATGCAGAGATGAAATTAGCAGTGCTGTAGCCATGACCCCATGTCTTGCTCTGATGTGTCCTGTTGATATACTCCCCAGGCCTCACCTTGACTTTTTCATCAGAGAAACCTTAACTGCACCCAAAAGTAGGCCACGTGCCCCTTCTGAGTGCTCCCGGCGCCCTTGTGCTCACTCATGCCAGCACTTCCCATGCTGTTGAGCTGCGGGGCCTGAAGGTTTCTTGAGGCCAGAGATTATGCTGGGGTCCCTTTGCCCCCAAGTCTGGTAGAACAGGGACACAGAGTAGGCACTGCACTTAATAAATGAGTGATGGCAGCTCTTACCTTCCAGGTGTTTATTTTACATATTAGTATAGTCGTCAGCTAAAGCCAACTAACACCCCATATAGGAACTGAAGAAAGGAAGGTGGAGGTGAAACGGACAGTTTTGAAGGGATGTGTTGTGTAACTCAGACGTAGACAGGGATAGACCTTTCTGATAAATTCATTGTATGGGGAATATAGCAATAATATTGCGTTGTGTTTTTCTTTTTCCAAATTCCTTTTTCTAGTTAAGGCGGTTTTTTGTTTTGTTTTGTTTTGCGTTGAATTGACTCATGGTGTCTCCATAAATCTCAGCCCGGTCCCGATGAGAATCGTACTTGGCAGGTTTCTCTCCAGAGTCTGGTCGTCTCGTGCTGAGGGTTGCCGTGGTCCTTTTATAAATGCGTTGCAGTTCTCCTGCAATTTCTGGAAAACGTTTTGATCCCTTTCTGAATCCAGGGAAAGGTCAGCCTGGAAGCTTTTCATGAATGAACTACTACCGCCATTTCTCTTCCCATTGTTTCTCTCTACACAGGTGAGAAACCTCATAGGTGTCACTTATGTCCCTTCGCCTCTGCTTACGAGCGCCATCTCGAAGCCCACATGCGGTCCCACACTGGCGAAAAGCCGTACAAATGTGAATTATGTTCCTTCCGCTGCAGCGACCGGAGCAACCTCTCCCACCATCGGAGGCGCAAGCATAAAATGGTACCAATGAAAAGTACCAGGTCTTCCCTGAGCAGCAAGAAGATGTGGGGGGTTTTACAGAAGAAGACCGGCAACCTGGGCTACAGCAGAAGAGCCCTGATCAACCTGAGCCCGCCCTCCATGGTGGTCCAGAAACCCGACTATCTTAACGACTTCACCCACGAAATCCCACACCTTCAGACGGACGCCTATGAGAGCATGGTGAAAACCACACCCACGGGGGGCCTCCCAAGGGACCCCCAAGAACTCATGGTGGACAACCCTTTAAATCAGCTCTCGACTCTAGCAGGACAGTTGTCCAGCCTGCCTCCTGAAAACCCAAACCCCGCATCCCCCGATGCAGTGCCCTGCCCCGACGAAAAGCCTTTCATGATTCAGCAGCCCTCTGCCCAGGCCGTTGTTTCTGCCGCGTCGGCAAGCATTCCTCAGAGCGCCTCGCCCACCAGCCCCGACCCTCGGCCGGCACACGGTCAGAGGAACTACAGCCCAGTGGCAGGGCCCAGCAGTGAACCAAGTGCCCACACGAGTACTCCTAGCCTAGGAAACAGCCAGCCCAGCACACCAGTCCCGACCCTGCCGGCCCAGGACCCCCAGCTTCTGCACCACTGCCAGCACTGTGACATGTATTTTGCTGACAATATACTGTACACTATTCACATGGGATGTCACGGATACGAAAACCCTTTTCAGTGTAACATATGTGGTTGCAAATGTAAAAACAAGTATGACTTTGCCTGTCATTTTGCAAGAGGTCAGCATAACCAACACTGATTAAGACCAATCACCCCACACCTGGGGTTTGTTTGGGGGTTTTTTGGTGGGAGCTTTTTGTTAGTATGTTTTGGGTCATCCCCTTAACTGCACCCAAGAGCAGGTAAGATGTCTGCTAATTTAAAGTTTATACATTTTAACTTATAGACTATAAATTTGACAGTGGAAACAAAATCCCCCACCCCATAAAAGGCTAGCCAGCGTCATGTCTGTGTTAGAGCAGCTAGCTGGCTGGGTGTCTGGTTTCCCCGTGGTGAGCCATAGGTGAATTAGAGTCCAGTCAGACTCGTAGGAGGTATTCATGTCAATCATCCCCTAGACGGATAGTCCAGGACACCTAAACTGGTACAGACTTGCGATTTCAGGACCTGGAGTGCAGCTGGATATTCTTTCTGCGTATTCACAATGGGAGAACAGTTACTTTTCTTGTAGAAAACCTGTTGCAATTTATCTCTTAGGGTGTGGTGTGTGTGTAGAGTAGGTGAGTTGCCTTTAAGTTTCTCTGAATTAGAATGCTATTTACTTCACATAATTTAAGTTGAAGCAATAGTTTCATGTCAACTGATAGGGGGAAGCTATTGCAGTATAATAAATCATTTCCACAAGGGGAAATATAAAACGATTTGATTTTTAAGTTCTGGAAACATGAAGTTAAAGTTATAAAGTTCTTTAAAAAAAAAAAGAAACCCACGACTTGACATGGAAAATATGTCATTTTCTTCAATGTCTAAAATATTGAGGTTTTAATTCTTAAAATACGTTCCATTTCTAGCTAGATTTCATGCTGTTTCCTTGGCGTCTTCTGATATTCCAGTTTATTTGATTTCAAACCAAACACACGAGAAGAGCACGAGAGAAAGGGTCACCTCGGGAGATGCTCGCTCTTGCCCTGTGTGCTGGACCGTGTCATTGCAGCCCTCCATCCGGTGTTGGGGCATCAGGTGGGGAGGCCATTCCGCCCATTCCTTTGATGACCAAAGAGGTACAACGGGGTGTCATCCACCTTACTGCCCTCAGGAAGGCCAGGCCTTCAAAACAGATCTGGGATGCTTCCTTTGCTTGCCTTAGCTCCTGTTGATACTTGTTTTATGGGTCCAGGGACACATGGAGAAATGGATCTGAACTAATGCAAGAGCAAGTGTTCATAATGGATTCTGGTGACCTCGTCAGAATTAGCCTCCAAGGTCATTACGGTGTAGATTCAAATTGTAAAGCTGCTTTGCAATGTTACCCACCTTTATGGTGAAAACACTGTGGAGACTGATTGGAATGTCACCTCAGCAGGAAACCATACAGTGGGTGAGAATGGGTCTAAGATGCATTAAACGTGGATGTCTGTTTACAAAAATGAGAGTTGAGTTGATCTAGAGTTGTTTTGAATGGGAGGCTCTAGTTTCTATATTGTGTCATTAGCTTACTCTGAGAAATAGCCTGGTCAACCAATAAAAGACATTGTCACTAACTGTTGGCTTTTGTGTACTTGGCAACATTTTTGTTCATCATGTGACTCAAATCTTGTAAGTGCTACTAATTGGCTTAAGAAGATTACCTAGACTATTAAGCTTTTATTAACCAAAAAGGGCCTCTACCCACATAATAAACGAAAGGAAAATGCTGATGGTATATGCCCACAGAAACCCAAAGTGCCCCCTTCATAGATCCTCTGCCCTCCCTCCCAACTGGGAGGAAGCCATTCCCAGAAGGTCTTGTGGCTGTAGCTAATCCCAACTTTCGTCATTTAAAGAGCAGTGCTGAAGACTGTTTTCCCCCAACAACTGTAACAACACTCTTCCTTGTCAAATCTAAGGCTTGTGAATGTAAAACGTCACAATTCTGTGTCACTCTGTTGCTGAAACCAATCACGGCCTGATCAGTTTTAATGCAGCCATCTCCAAGTGCCCGCGTGGCTCTACTCTGTTTATTGCCAGGAAGAAATCGGTTGCTGCCATTTGAAAGCCTTGGTGATTTTTAACTTTTCCATCCTTCTATTTAAGAGCAGTACCTCAGCAGAGCAAATGAAAATCTTCATTAAATAAAGAGTGAACCCCGTACTCTGGGCCAAAGAGTGACAAATACTTCCTAGCAACTAAAGTGGCTGTTCTGAAGGTGCATTTTAATTTAAACAGGGACATTTTGCTTCTACTCCCAATTGTGAACCAGAATGTATAATGCTTATTTTCCTATGGCTTAAAGAGCACAATTGGTATTCCAAAGCTGTCAGTGCTTGAAAGCTACAGTTCTAAATGCACTAAGTTTTGAAGCAAACCTACCTTAGATAAATTTTTGGTATTGTATTTTTTAAAAGATTTGGAATTTTATTTACGTGGTTGTCAGTTAAATTCTGTACCTGGAAAGATGTTTCTATCTTCCCTTAAAATATGTTCTCGTTTTATTTTCAATCAAGTATTTTATAGAATGATTTGTGGGAAACGTTTAAACGTGCACTATTTATAGTACTTTGCTGTTAACAGGCAATATTCTGAAACTAAATATTTATTTTTGTTCAGTGAACATAAGTTTAAAGTTGGTAGATAATTTATCTCCACTAATATTTTTTTAAGAAACTGTGAAAAGATTAACAGGGAATAATCTTATTTCAGATTTTGCTAACGTAGTGAAAGCTAGACTTACTGTAAAAAAAATCCCACTGGATATTTTCCAGTGTTTCGTTTTAGAATGCATTTGCCATTCATTTATAAAATTGTTTGACAAGGGGAATATTACCAAAAGACGTTGGGAGATAAGCTTCATTTTAAGGTGTTTTTTTAAAAATTCATTTTAAGTTTTATGAAAATATTTATCAAAAGGATGGGTTACTTAAAAAACTTAAATTCCCTGCTAAGAACTTTTTCATTAAATAGTCTTAGAGGCTATATGCTTTTTAGAACTTTTTTGTTGTTGTTAATATGTACTTTGATGTAAAGAACATATTTTGTATGCAAAAACATAGAACTTGAGTAATGGTTATAAAATACATTATATTGTTTAGGGATTCCAGAAAAAATTTAAATGCTGAAATAACTATAGTATGTAGTTTATGTTGTGATCTTTGCTTTTGTAATATATAAATAAAAAGATAACACTTTCTAATGACCTTGATTTTTCCTTTTTGAAAAGTAGGATCAATTCGTTTCTTAGTTAACATTCTGGAATGTAAATATTAATAAAAGAAGTGCTTTATGGTTATCCTGGTTTGGATTTCTAGAATGCATTATCCGGAAGATCTGTTCCATGAGTTAAAAGTCGCCCCATGCTTACACATCTTCTGTGCCCTTTGCTGTCGTCCAGGTGCCTTGAACTCTTGCTGATTGCCCTGCCCTGCTATGAGGGTTCAGGCCACAAGTGGGAAGTGTGGCTCCCTGCTTAATGACCCGTGCCACATCAGCTGAAGTAACTTCTGCCTCATACTAGTCTTTAGCTTCGAGTTCCTAGAAAACACGACACTACTCAAACTTTGCTTTAGTTTGCAAAAAGTTACGGGTCTGACACTTGGTTAGAAATTCAGAATTTTTAATGCTGTGACAAATACTTCTGTACAATCTTATCTTTTTCATCCTGGAAAAGAGCGATCACATCTGTGCTGGTGGTTTGCTGGAAGCACAGACATTTCTTACTGCTTCCTTGTCTCAGGTCTTCCAGGAGCTCTGCTCGCAGCTTGTTAAGTTCTTCTGCAAGAAGCTTCAAGTTGTAAGGAAGCACTAGTTCACCTACAATAAAAAGGACACCAGATCCTTTATCAGCCCGTAACTGCAGACAGCCACTCAGTCCATAAACAGTCATCTCAATGGAGTTGGGTGGTGGTGGTAGTTGCTATCTGGTCATTTTCTAGCATATTTAAGATGAAAACGATATGGTTTCAGCTTTCTGATTAAAAGTTAATTGAGAGAGTTTGTGTCAAACAAGATGAGCGGTGGAGTCGTCATAACCAAACCGCAATCTACCTACCCTTTGCTTCCTTCATGGTCTGAGAGAGAATTCTTCGGAGCGTCTGATCAACTTGATGAAGAACATTAGTTGAACAGATAATTCTGTCTGCTTCCTATGTAATAATACACGTTGTTATTGGAACATTTACTTAGTTTTGTAAAAGCACTGGCTACAATGTAGGTGATGCTTAGTGGGAGGTACTGAAAAGTGAAGCTGGCGTTTCTGTCCCAGCTCTGCTCTCTCGGAGCAGGCTATTGAAGCGGGGCTCCAGCTAGGCAGTGGAGTACTGGGAAATGCTTAATAACCGGCCCGGAGGGAAGAACAAACACCCTCTTTGTCCTGTGTGCCAGTTTCTGAGGTGCAAAGGCTTCCACCCTGGGGCCCATTTCAAGTTACCAATGTGACATAAGCTGGCCCCACCATTTCTGGAAATGTAACAGTAAGCTCTGGCGAGCTGGCCACCGAGGGACCATCATGTCCAGCACAGGCTGCACGCTGGTGAGATGCCAAGCCAGTAACAGCAGTGTTACCGTGTCATGGGGCTGAGAACCACCCTGTTCAAGACCTTCCTCTGGAAAGCCCTTTGCATTTTGAGAAGAAGCCACACTGGAAGAGACCCACCTTCTGTCCCCAGTTGTCCTCAACATTTCGTACTGGGTTTTCCAAAGCAGCAAGGAAGAAATCAGCCACCTCTAGGCTATGTGAGAAAGCGGGAGAAAATGAAACCCTTCTGGTAGATATTTTGTTTTCAAAGAACTTGCATTTATGAATATTAAACAATTCCAGAGGAGTAAAACTGCTATGATCCAGGTTCCTAATTTAGGAAAGTCCCTCAAAATTAACCGATTTGGAATTTACCTTCTGACAAATCTACATTGAGAAAGAAGCGCAGATGCAAAACAAATTCTCAGACCACAAATTTCTTTCGTTTTAAAAATAACCAGTCCTCCAAGATTTCGTACCAGTAAGCTTTGCAAAATCATTAAGTACTGCTCTTTGGCCAGTAGCTCCCACTTAAAGAACAAGGCTGTGTCTTTACAGAGCGGCCTCTGCTTATTAATAGATAAGATCCTCCCCTCGGTTGGGTCCACAAAACAAGGGGTTTTGGTGGAATCCACTCATCCATTTAACGAATAGCTACAGTGTGTTTTTATATGCAAAATAATCTTGCAACTATGATGGGAAACTATTGGACCAACCAAAGATCTGGTGAGCCTCCTACCCTCTCCAAGCGTGACAATGCAGTGGCGGGAGAGAATACTTTGTTGGTGATGAGCATACACAGTGACAGTGCAAGTTCAACTAGGTAATGCACTTCAGGTGGACTGGCCTAGGAATTGTGCAAGAGGGGCAGCACGAAGACAGAAGGGCAGCACGCACAAAAGGCCCTGTGGCAGGAACAAGCTTTTCTGGTGCTCAGGCAACCGTGAAGATCACTTTGGCTGATAAAGCAGCAGGAGAGAGTGATGGGCTACAAGGTTGAAGGGGTAGGGTTAGAGCACGCAGGCCAAGACTGCCGCATGCAAGCTCAGCTAAGGAAACGGCACTTTCTTAATGCAAGAACTCTCTCCAAGGGCTGTGTGAATATGAACTGGCAGGTAAAGCATTCGGCACAGCACCTGGCCCTGCAGAGGCACCTAGGGAATGATACATTTAATTCTGATACCTGGCTTCCGATGAGCATGCCGGACTCTGAATGATGAGGCTGTTGCGTTCCCAAGCATTTTTCTCAGGGTTGGGTTTTTCGATCTTTCTTAACATCAGGTGAATGATCCTGGGTGGCAGTGCCCTTGGCCTCTGGCCATTTCTCTGTAAACAGGTCTCAAGAGGACAGTCTATAAAGAGCTGGCAAAAGCCTAAGGAATCTGAAAACGGTTGAAAACCACACATTAATGGCGCGTGCTTTTTCCCAAATGTAAAATTAAGACATATTAACTAGTTATCCCAGCTGCCTCAAGGAAAGTCACTTGTAATACTGAATAACAATCTTTTAGTGTTACACAAATCCACATAAGCCTCATGAAGCCTCATGATCCGATTGAATGCTCACTGAAGGCAGTGGTGGTTTTGATGATGGTATGTAAAAAATAATGCTTTAATTACATTTCCGGGCCAACTGGTAGACTTCGTATCTCATGCTTTGATAATAAAAGTTGTCATCCAAAACCAAAACCAGAGATCTAGAAAAAGCCCTTCTGGTTAGGAGGTAGCAAGACTGGGCTTCCATCACTGGGAGAGAGAGGAGATCTTGATCTTTTAAGGTGGTAACAAAGCGTTCCCACAGGGCTTCAGTTTTGTTGGGTGGGGCTGGCATTGGACAGGAGTTGATGATAGCCACCAAGAAGCAGTCCATGTATTTCAACAGTTCCTGCCGGAGCAGCTTCCATTGGGAAGGCTACAAAAGACCAACAATTTGCAATTTATACTAGGCCCCAGACAGTGAGACCGTCATCTGAGCTCCTCCGCCCCCCTCCCCCACCTCCAGCATATGAAACCTCGGCCTCCCATTCTCCCTGCGGCTGTGGGAACCGCTCCACACGGCTTGAACTTCGGTCCCATGCCAAACATTCAGGAACACTCACTAGGATTAACAAAATACACACCTTTGCTTGTGTGGAATCGCCCCGACCTCCACCCCCAAAGACCAAATGCATTGCCACCGAGTTGATTCCCATTCAAAGTGACCCACCGTGACGGGTTTCCGAGCCTGGCACGCTTTATGAGTAGCGCTTTCCAACTGCAGCCCAACTCACTGCGCCACCAAGGCTCCTCACGACCCTATGTGGGGTTTCCGTGGCTATAAATTGTTATGGGAGGGGGACACCTCAT